GAAAAATGTGTGAATACAAAAGTTTTAGATCTTTTTATTACCTCCAACTTTGCCATTTAACTTTCTTCGATAGGACTTTTAGTTTTGCCGGAAATCGAGATAAACCGTTTTTTACCCTTAAAACTCCCCCCGCTACCCTTCCCGACCTCAGATCGACCGTAATTTATTTTTCCTTTCATTTTGATCATATTCCCCTCCTTTTCTAATGGGTTTCATCCTACTGTAATTTTTTTCACTTTTTATTTATTTTAAAGGCTATCTGCACTGGTCTAATAACCCAACACGATTTATGTAATTACGTTCACATTGTCTATATTAAGTTAATAAGGCCCTTTCAAAATGGAGGTTCTAGTAAGCGAACCGATATTATAAACACGTAAAAAATTTCATATAAAACGATTCAAACCACAAATTCTCATTTGAGCCATTAGTAGAGTGCCCGGAGCATTCAAAACCGTAAAACCTCGGATTAGAGTTACAGTGAATGAATTAATATGATCGATGTGGGATATTGTTTTTTAAACTATAAATTGCAATGTTTACCCAAAATTTTTTTGTGCACTCCATTGTTATAATTAAAAAATAATATGAAAAAAAATGATATTTAGTTTTTTGTTAATAACTCGAAAAATATTAACATTTAAGCAATTTTGAAAAAAGCTCGTTAAAGAGGAGGAAATTTCCTAAAGTCCTAACTCCCGGAATTCTATCTCCATTATTTATAATTTTAATTTAACGCTGAAAATAGGTTTGCGCGTGACATTTTTAGGATGCGCGCGTGGCGTCAAAAGCGAGTACGGCACAGTAATTAATTTATTTAAGGTATTGAATATTTTTTTTTAAATTTGAAAAAATTATGGTGTGTTCTGAACACTATAATTAATTTATTCCCGTAGGAAATTTTACTTAAAGTTAGTTTTTCAACAAGTTAAACAATTGTTAACTAAAGAAATTTTCTCGAACTACCGTCTTAATTGTAAGTGAAAAAAAATGTTTAAATAATGGTCGTAAAAAACGTTCGCTTCGTAGAGCCTTTCTTACATACATACTTAACAAGATCATGCCATAAAAGTTAAAAAAATATTTATACTTTGTTTATAAAAATTTTTTTACTTTAACAACATTACTTGGATTTTTTAGTTTTTGTTAAAGTAAACTCCTCTTTAACGAGCTTTTTTCAAAATTGCTTAAATGTTAATATTTTTCGAGTTATTAACAAAAAACGAAATATCATTGTTTTTCATCTTATTTTGTTAATAACAATTGCAATTTTTAACCTGCACCAAAATCCTTCAAAAACATTTTTCTAGAGGTGATTCCGAATCGAATGAGCCATCGCTCATATTTTTAGGACCTTTATCTCTATTTTTCACGTTTTTGAACTTGTTGACTAGACTATACTGCTATTTTTATACACAGGTATCTTTGAAAAATGTTCCTATATGTCTACTCAGGTAAGATTTAACATATAAATAAAATAAAATACTGTTTAAAGTAAAAATATATGATCAAACATTAATTTTTCATAATATTTTTTTTTAATTATAACAATGGAGTGCACAATAAAATTTTGGGTAAACATTGCAATTTATAGTTTAAAAAACAATATCCCACATCGATCATATTAATTCATTCACTGTAACTCTAATCCGAGGTGAAAACCCCCAGGCGCTATACTACATTCGTTATAGGTAATTTGTTGAAATTAGCCTATTCACCCAGTTTTGCGAATATATGATATCTCCACATAGTTAAAGAACATAACTTGATTATTTTATTTCAAAAGAAGCAAAAAACTTAAATAAAACCTCAAACTTGCATTCAGGAACACGTAGAAATATTAAATATAAGAAAAAGATTACTATCTGCATTTGTATTCAAACCTGCCGAGGTCGCGAACGTAACATAAAAGTAAAACTATTGTTTTAATCTTACAAAGAAGTTACCCGTATATACCCGTAAAGAATGCAGAATGCGTTTGTTTTCTTTTCCTGTTTATTTTTAATATAATAGTAGTCTTAATAGTCTCAAAACACATTTAAAACTAATCATTATTTTTTTAAGGCGGTAAAAAATTGTACCATCCCACTAACGATACAAACTCTAAAACGCTGTTACGAGCTGGGGATCGGATAGGAAACGCCGTAAATTACTTCAAGGGTTTATTTTAAAATAATCAAAGGACTAATACACAAAGTTTTGTCACTAATTACCAACTTCAATAACGCGCACTGCACTTTAACAGTATTTGAAAAAATATAAGTGCTAATAGTGAACGTGACTTCACTAACTTAACTAAACACGTTCACTATTCGCACTTTTATTTTTCCCATCTCTTGGAATCCCACTCGAAACTGAATTGCGTTCAGCACGCTTATTACCCGGGAATAATCGTACACGATATTCGAGAACTTTCTGAGCAGGAGTGGACACTGAATAGCTATTGTTCTATCATTACATAATAATCAGTTCGGTTTTACCAAGGGTCGCTCGACAGCCGATGCCGGTGTTGAGTTATATAGATATATAGTTAAGGCTTGGGAGGAGTCGCATGACGCTTTAGGTGTTTTCTGCGACTTATCCAAAGCATTTGATTGTGTCCAACACGAGACCTTAATCGGGAAACTCCGCCACTATGGCATCAAGAATACCGCACTGAATCTTCTGACTTCCTATTTACACGGAAGAACTCAGAAGGTTGAAGTGAATGGTAAGAGGTCCTCTGGGTCGGCAGTAGATATGGGGTACCACAGGGCTCAATTCTTGGCCCTTTCCTCTTTCTTGTTTATATAAATGATCTACCTTTCATGGTAGAGAGAAAACATCAGATAGTTTTGTTTGCTGATGACACGTCCTTGATTTTTAAAATCAAACGACAAATAACAAATTTTGACGATGTGAACAATGCTCTGTCTTCGATTGTCCATTGGTTTAGTATGAATAACCTTCTACTTAATGCAAAAAAGACAAAATGCATTAAATTTTGTGCAAAAAATGCAAGGGTTATGGATACTAGACCAATTATAAACGGTGAGGAATTGAATCTGGATGATACAACTGTATTTCTCGGAATCACCATGGATTCAAAACTTCAGTGGTCCCCTCATATTAACGGATTGGCGAAGAGACTTAGTTCTGCAGCCTACGCGGTTTTAAAAAATTCGCTCACTAACTGATGTCGATACAGCTAGACTTGTTTATTTTAGTTACATTCATAGCTTAATGACTTATGGCTTATTATTATGGGGTCATGCTGCTGATGTCGAAACTATTTTCATCCTGCAGAAGAGGGCTATTCGTGCAATCTATAATTTAAAATGTAGGGAATCTCTTAGAGATAAATTCAAGGAAATTAATATACTTACCTTTCCCTCGCAATATATTTATGAAAATATTATGTATGTATACAAAAATAGTGATAAGTTTACTAGAATAGAACATACGCACAATGTTAATACACGGAACAAACGCAGGCTGCAATTTCCCCGTACTAGACTATCTAAAGTTAGTAATTCTTTTTTGGGGAAAGGGATACTCTTCTTTAATAAAATCCCAGAGGCTCTTTTATCACTGCCTTTCAATAAATTTAAGAAATGTATTAAAGAAAAGCTGTGTAAAAAGGCTTACTATAAAGTCAACGATTATCTAGTTGATAAAAGGGCCTGGGACTAGTGCTAGACAGGCTACTTCTAATCAATTTGCGATATTTGTTTTAAATAAGTGTTGTTTGATGATTTGCTGTTTTAAAAGAGTACCGAGAGTTTTTTACGCCGGCTTTTTCTCTCGGCCTACACCCTCTGTCTTCTTTGCCGATGAGTAGGGATGCCTTCAAATTTAATGACGTGGAATAAGTGATACATGTATCTTATGTTCCATAATAAACATATTTTATTTTATTTTTTATTTTTATTTTATTATCGTACAATACGTAAACTTTTGTACTCTTTATCTCTTTCGACATCACTTTCGCATACTGTTTAATGTTGTCCTTGTGGCACACCTAGAAATTTCACGCGATAATATTCCTTTATCAACAGGATATAACCTGAAAACGGGTAATTTGAAAACTATGCTATGTCACACTTGTTCTGAAACAGCACAAAAATATTTCAGCTTCCTGAAAACGTACTTTATCTCGTATTCGTACATCGGAATATATTTAAACATTAAGAAATGAACTAATAAATCTTCTATTCTTTCTTGCCTTTACAACAAAGTAAATATTGTTATATACGTAAGGTAATGTAATACGTATTTTTGCAGAGCCTACCCGTTCACGTGTCAACATACGCATGGACCTGGATTATATTATCTCCTATAGGAGGTATAAAAATATTATATGACTTGAAAGACACCATTAAAACACATCATTTTAGGTTTCCAAATAACTTAAAATTACTTTTTTTTTTTTTTGAATGGAATCTCGGTGTTGGCCTTAATGGCCTTTAAAGCTCAGCTCGGGCTGTTTTGGCGAGCGTAGCTCGGCCAGAATGGGCGTTTTTCCCGCGACTAGCGCAATGGCGTCTCCTGTGAGACTCGAACCTCGGTTTGGGCCGTCGCGGGGTGGTCAATCGCCTGAAGGGCAGGACGGAAGCTCACTGGAGTGAGCGAAGTGCGAAGTAAAGATCCTCGCCTTCCCCGGTGAAGGCGGTTTTAACCCTTATCTATGTTTAACTATTTTGATTATTATTATTGGCCGCGCGGGCGGCTTTTAATTTATTGTTAGCTACGGTTATTGGATCATCCGGATCCGTTAGTGTGTGTGTGTCGAGGCCTCCTAAGAGCCTATTATGTCGGAAGGGGATAATATGGTCGTAACTATTGCGGTGTGTTGGACTCTACAAATTGCCGCACGGTCTTAAGGAGCAGGGTGTGCTCGGTTATTACGTCTACCTTAGCGGACGCATTTTTAACGCCTCCGCGAAAACGACGAGAGCGTCTAAGTCTAAAGCGTTTATGACGCTAAACGCAAGATTAAAAGCGTTGCGAACGCTGCCTGACTACTCAGATGCCTCCGCGGGAGGGCTGAGGGCTTGAGTAGGAGGGCTCGCATTAAGTGTGAGCCTCTCTTTTATGACGGGGGTCGGCGCAGGAGCTTGTGAAGGCGCTGCGGATGCCGATTTGGGTGGCAGAGGCGGGAAGGCTTCTGACGTGAGTTGGGGAGGGCCCTCCGTAACGGGGGGCTTGGCCCAGGGACTAATTTTAGGAGGTGGGGCCGGCACGCATGCGGGCTTAGCAACCGCGCCACGACGGGCCGCATCGCGTCCCACCATGCGCCTAGAGTGAGCGAATGACAGCGAGATGGCACTGGAGCAGACGTCCGCACAGGTCGGCAGTCGAGCGAAGAGTGCCCAATTACTTATTTATTTGCTTAACTCTACATAACTTAAATTAACATAGTTACGTACATTTTCTGTAGGTAAATAAAACGAGATAATTTTTTACAATTATTACTACTTCATGTTGAATATGTATGCTTCGCTTCGCTATGAAATTTTTATTTCTTAAGTAGTTCATACTAAAAACCTTGAAATTATAATGACATTTTGAAACTTATTTATTACTTAATATGTAACCCAACCTAATTTACATAGTAATTATTAAAATAATTAAAAAAGAAAATTAAACAAATTTAAAAAGTTTGGTGCCTGTGCCTGTGTTCTCGTAGCATTCCCTCGCTGTATTGCGATACTTATTCGTTGAGCAAGCACTAGCTGTGGGGTCACCAGCACTATTTACCAGGCGTCAACTAAAATCTTTAATTAGCGCCTGTGCACTTGAACCATACGGCCCAAGAGTCTCTACTCCAAAGGGAACAAAATCGAAGTCGGAGGAAATATATTTGAGTCCTTTATTATTTTCCGCCTGCTCTGCGGCTGCCCCGGCTTTTTTGTTGTAACACAACCTTATTTACAGTACCTAATTTTTAATTAGTTAAATATATCTTTATATTAGAAGGACCAATAACGAGAATGCATCGAAGGTTAATATTGACATATATATAAAAGCGTCAGTACTAACTTGTATACTGAAAACCTCTTTAACACCTTTTTTAAAATCAAGATAACTTTAAGTTACCTTTGCACCGCATTACCTTAAAATTTCACTACTGAATCTAAAAATAAATAATATTTTTAAATTAAAAAGCTGTTGTTCTTTTTAAGTTCAGTACTTTCGCTCACTGCTGGTGGCCCACAGTGAGGGTGACGAAAGATGTATGTATCTGAGTGCAAGAGCCGTTAACAACGGATCTACGTTTGATCTACATGAAGGCTAATGTTTAATGATGGCTATGGGACGGGCTTTAGTATGGGATGCTACTTGTATGGACACGTCTACCCCGTCTCACCTCCTTCGGACAAGCAAAAAAGCTGGGGAGGCCGCAGTGCAGGCAGAAAATTATAAACGGCACAAATGTAAGAGTCTTTCCTCCAACTTCGATTTTGTTCACTTTTAAGTAGAGACTCTTGGGCCGTCATGTTCAAGTGCATAGGCTCTTATTAAAGATTTAAGTTGGCGCCTAGTACATAGTACCGGTGACCCCAGAGCTGGCACTTTCCTGGCTCAACGAATAAGTATCGCAATATAGCGAGGAAATGCTGCCAGCGTTAAGGTACCTACACTGCCACAAGGACCAAACTTTTTAAATTTGTTTTGATTTTCATTTTAATAATTTGTATTATTACTTTGTAGGTTAAGAAAATTGTAAATACTGTATACTTGATTGTAAATAAAAGAACTGACGAAAAATTTAGAAATAGAGCTTCCGTGGTCCATATAATGATAATTTCATGTGACAAGGGTTATGTCGAGTTTATAGAGGCGTAAATTTCACGTTTTTTTTATCTTCTTGTGTTTAACATTCGCTTCACGTAGACCCTAAACCCTTAGGATTAGAAAATTATTAAAGGTTATGTGCGCGATTTTATACATCAGCGTTGTGTTTTATTATTTTGTATAGTTAATCTACACTTATAGCTAAGGAATCTGCGTTATCCCAGAGTAACGAAGTTTATATTTATCAACGCAATATTTTAAAAAGCAGTGAGTCAGTCGTGTGAAGCGGGAAGACCGCTATTATGTTATAGTTTTATATTCGAATAGTTATGAAATAATAACTAGTAAATCTTGAATAGATTTATCAATATCAGTTATTTTTTTGTGATTTTTTTGTGTAGTTTTAATTTTAACGTATTTTCAAGTATTATTTAAAGTAAAGGAATATAAAAGACATAATATTTTATAATTAACTAGCTGACCCGGCAAACGTTATTTTGTCATATATATTATTTTTGGCTAAACATTTCTTCAATTACAATAGTAAAAGATCCCCTATTTTTGATCGTAGAGGGGTGAAAATTAAGGGTAGTTTTCTGTATCATAAAAAAATAAAAACAAAAATATTTGTCTAACAAATAAAAATAAAATTTAGAGGTGGACCACCCTCAACATTTAGGGGGGTAAAAAATAGATGTTGTCCGATTCGCAGACCTAACCGTTATGACCACAAAATTTCACGAAAATCGGTCGAGCCATTTCGGAGGAGTTTAATTACAAACACCGTGACACGAGAATTTTATATAAAAAATTTAACTCAGTTTAGTAAAAAAAGACACTATTATCCCAAAAGTTAGGTTACACACTGATTAAACGTTCCTAAAATATTTTGGTAAAGAAGGAATGATAATATTCACAAATGATTTCATTTTAATTTCTAGACATCCTTTCTTCTTAGTTTCAATCTAAATAATTCTAAACCTTTTATCGAAGGAGAAAAAGAATTTACAACCGACGAAGGCTCAAAGAGAAAGAAATGGTAATGCAAACAAGTTCCTTACAGCTTGTGTTATGTAGGTAATTTTTTTTTCGCGTCGTAAAATGATGAACAGTTGATGCTAACGAAAGTTATAGGGACTATTAAGGTGAGTATAATATGTGTCGTGGCTTCGTATTTTTAGTACTACTTGTACTATTCAGCAGTGTTGGCCTAGTGGCTTCAGCGTGCGACTCTCACACTTGAGGTCGTAGGTTCGATCCCCGGCTGTGCACCAATGGAATTTCTTTCTATGTGCGCATTTAACATTTGCCCGAACGGTGAAGGAAGACATCGTGAGGAAACTGACATTTCTTAGTCCCAAAAAGTCGACGGCTTGTGTCAGGCACTGGAGGCTGATCACCTACTTGCCTATTAGATTTAAAAATGATCATGAAACAGATTCAGAAATCTGAGGCCAATACCTGAAGAGGTTGTAGCGCCACTGTTTTTTTTTTTGTATAAATGTGATATGGTTTCTTGGCTTATTATTTCCACACCTTTTTTTTTTTAAATATAATAGGGGGGTAAACGAGCTTGCGGGACGACCAAAAAGGGCAGTCTAGCAGTCCATAGACACCCATTTTTAGTGGGTGCGTTGCCGGCCTTTCATTCATTTACCTTTTAGGCATTATTGCAATGAACGATACGTGAAAGGTTTGAACTTCAGATAAAGGAATTTATTTTTGAAATAAAAAAAACATTGTTTTTTTTTAAATTTTACTGTGGCAAAAAGATAATAATATATCGTTTTCCTTTAAATCATAATAATTTATATTACGCATTGTCCTTTATGCTTAAACTCACCATTGTAGCATTCTCTCATTCTGAAATTAATTATGTAATACTTTAAAATTACTGTGTCTTTTGACTATTCTAATAGAGCTGTGGGTTCACCATAGCAATGCAATATGGACTGAAAATATCGACAGCTATTATAATCGCATACAATGGCATTGCTAAATTATTAACTCTTATAGTTAACTATCAGTTTGACGTCTTCTTATAAACGAATAAAATTAATATTATAAGGGGTAAGGGGGCTGCTTTATTTATTTATTTATTTATTTATAAAAGCTTGCCAACGCTTTGATAACTTTGATAACTGACCGAAAAGTACTTATTGGCCTTTAAGCACTTACTCGCAATAATTGTAATAGGTATTTCCTTTTGTACCACATAACAGCTCCTTATCAAACTGCATACAGAATTCTCTACATGTTCCACTGGTCAATTTTGCGCACACCAAGAGCATTAGTATGCAAAATACTGAAACATTAAATCACCATTACGAGTTATGTAATAAACGACAATATATTGTTAGTAAATAAACGTTTGCACATGTTAGTTTGGCAATTGTTGTATTATATATAATAGTTATACTCACCAAATGATAGCTTCATTTAAAAATAATAGTTGTTTCTGATTAGATTATAATAGTGCTGAAGCCTGTATTTATACGTCTACATTATCCTTCAAACCATTATCACAACATTAAAGTCAGTTAATTATTTTAAAAAGTAGCGTAAAAACAGTACAAAAACTTTTATAAACCCCTGTACACAGAGATGTACACCAGAAACTTCAACCAATTCAGAAGAAAAGGTTTTATACCACCCACGGAACATTTTCCGGACCAATTCGACTTCGGGCCCATCAAGAAAAGAGCGTACAAATTCGCACTTGTGAGCCTTATATTGCATTGTGAGTGTCCATGGGCACTTAACATTGCATGAGCCTCCTATTACATATAAAAATATATAAACACTAGTAGACTCGGCCAAGCGTTGCTCTGGCTAAGATTTTTGTTATATTACATAGTAGTAAACTATTCAAGGGAAACGGTAGGAGAACTTATGTGAAAGGTAGATGACAGCTTATGTGAAACGTTGATAATTTTGACACAGCGCCATCTGTTAGAATTGTATCAAATAATAAACAAATATTTTGCAATAAATTAAAATTACGACTATAATTTGAGATTTAAACTATCCTATCTCTCAAGTTGGATCGAACTGCACATGGTGTGCAAATTTGATTGATATCGGTTCGGTAAATTAGGAGTCCATTGAGGACAAACATTGTGACACGAGATTTATATATATTAAGATATTTTTGTGAAATAGAAGAAAACTGCACCACAGAAAATTAATCGTTGCTTTTTTTAAATGCAGAAATATAAAAAAAATATATCATAACCTTAGTCCCGCAGCTGCTTTAACGTCATCCTAAAACAATGCAGAATTCATAAGTTTGCTTTCTTAAGATGTTATTTTTAACAACACAATGCAGCAGTTTCAAAATACATTTTTTTAAATGTAACAATGCATTTTCAGGTATACAAGAATTTTCAAGAAAGCATTCTTCAAAAACATTTTGAGATGTATGAACTATATATTATGAAAGTTAAAGGATAAACTGCGATAACTGAAAATAGAGGAACCGTTTAATTAAGTAAAA